ACCGGTGCAATCCCCCCCGAGCCGCGGCGGGAACCCTCCCGTGTCAGGGCGGATAATGCTGCGGAGATCAGCGCTGGTCACAGCTGGGAGTGTGTTCCTCAGTGTCGTGCCGCTCATGGAGCCTGCCGAGAGCTCGATAAACACATCGCCGAGCCCCGTTACTGCTCCCATTCCCCACGAAGCCTGTTCTCAATGCTTGGAGGGAAAGGCTCCGGGCTGCCGGCCTCAAACCCTCGGCAGCCTGGCAGGTACATGCTGCAGGAGCCTCTGGCACGGCACCTATGGCATGGGATGTTTCCAGGGATGAGCTGGGAATCCAAAGGGGCTGGAAGCACCCGGGAGGCAGCTCTGCCTTTTCAATGCTCCAGGTTACAAAATCCCTCCACTTCCCAGAGCCAGGGAGAAACTGGGGGACCCCCATGGGCCACCCTGGGGACCCCCATGGGCCACCCTGGGGGCCAGCAGCCAGGAAAAGGGGCTCCAGTGCACAGAGATCCACGAGGAAGCAAGTGGGGATGTGGTGGCAGCAGGGAAAATGCCAACGAGGGGCAAAGGGGGCAAGAAGGGTGTGAGGGAAGGAAAGAGCTCTGCAATGCTGCACTCGACACAATTCCAGTGCAGGGCTGGGCACACGGAGCTGCAAGCAAAGCTGTAGGGTGGCAGATGTCCCGGGGCTCTGGAGCTCCCAGTTACACCAGTGAGAGCAGCCCAGGCGCTGTGCTGGGGCTCAGGTACTTCCCCACGAGCAGGTGGGAGAGGACGGCTCCTGCCTTCTCTGACACTGGGCCCTGAGACATCCCGGCCTCTCAAGGGCTGCCAGGTCCTGACAGGTGACGAGCGGGGCCTCATGCCCCTTGATGGCAGGAGAGCGCCGCTGGGTGAAACCCTGCACCGCTCGCACCATTGTTTTCCTGGAAACAGTGGACAACAATAGCCGGGCTGTGCAATGCTCACGCTGCCCATGAGCCCCCGCCCGCGGGAGGATGAGGGCTCTCCCCTCCTCCTCCTCCTTCTCGTAGCTCGGCTCCACCACCCCCAGCCGTGACTCAAACCTTCCTGGGGACGCGTGGACCTCTTATCCCCGGCTTGATGGGCTGCTCGCTGCCTGGCTCTGCCCTCCGGATTTGTCCTTCACAGGGCCATTCTCTGCTCCTAGACACTTACACAGTTTTACAGGGAGCACACTGAGCCAGACAGGGACTTTCCTGTGTCCCCAGGGCATAGGGAAAGGGCTGCAGTCCCACCAGGAAAGGGGGCAAGGCAACACTCAGCTTCCCCTGCACCCCATACATACGTCTGCCGCCTTCTTCTCTGCCAGCTCCAGCTTCTCCTGGGCATCTTTCAGGGCCTCAGAGTATTTGTCCAGTTCATCCTCTGTCCCCTTCAGCTTCTTCTGCATGGCAGCTAGCTCATCCTCCAGCTGGAAGGACAGCGGTGTCACCACAGGTGGACACCACTCTGAACCCCTGCACCCCAAGAGAGCCCCACCTGCCCCATCCCAGTCTCAGCTCTGCCCCATGGCATCCCTCCTGCCTTGTCCTTGGGACCAGCTCTGCCCCACAGTGTCCACCCCATTCCCACATCCCACCAGCTGGCAGGGACTGAGCCCTGGAGAGCCTCAGAGTGCCCTTGAGCTGTGGGATAGCAGCAGCTGTTGCACTCTCATACCCCAGGCAGAGTCTCTGTTGGGTCTGGGCTCAGCAGAGGCACAGCACCAGGCAGAAGAACCCAGCAGAGGCAGAAGCAACACCCCCGGGCTGGGGGCTGTGGCTGTCTGCCCTACCTGCTTGCTCCGCTCCTCCGCCTGCTTCTGCTCAGCCTCCGCCTGCTCTGCCCGGTCCAGGGCATTCTCCTTGTCCAGCTTCAGCATCTGCATCTTCTTCTTGATGGCCTCCATCCTTGCTGGGACACGGGCAGCGGTGGGCAGCGGGATGCAGACAGATAACGGGTGGGTAGAGCAGCTGTGTTGCCTGTGCCCCACTGTGCCCCGTTTATCAGCTCTGCCCAGCACAGTGGCTTTGCCTTTCTTGGGCTGACCCGCCTCCCCACCGTCCCAAAAAGTCTGTGCTCAGGACCCATTGTGTGTCCTGGGGGCTCCGGGTGGTCACAGCCTTATTTGGGCTCCCGAGGACAGCTGGGGCGTTATAAAAAGCAGCAGCAGGTCTGCGAGAAGGGGTCCTGCATTGTTCCAGGTGCCCCCTCCCCCCCGTGCAACAGGACACCCTGGTTGGTGCCCCCAGTGCTTCCTCAGGAGGTTGAACTGGGTCCGTCCGTGCAGCACTGGCATGAAGTCCTCACCCCCCATTTGCCTTCCTGGGCGGGCTTAGGATGTTTTGGTGGCCCTGGGCTGACATTTACCCCTGCCCGGGGGTGGCATAGAAAAGGGCAAGATCATCCTGGTGCTATTTTGGGAGCTGGGGCTTGGCCGGGAGTGTTTGGCTCTGCAGGGAGCAGCAGGGGAAACTGCACCCAGCACTGGGGGCAGAGCCCCCCGAGAGCCTGCGGAGCCCCAAGTCCAGCTCCGGCTGTGCTGGGGATGGTGCTGAGCTGGAGGATGCTCTTGGCAGCTGGAGGAGCAGATTCCCCAGGCGCAGGGAGGAATTCTTAGGGCAAGTGGTGGCACTTCGTCTGCAGCCGAGGGATTTGCAGCCTCCTTGTACTGGCTCAGAGGTCCCACTGGCCCCATAAATCAGGTTAGGATGTCCCATTGAAGAGACCCACTGCTCCCACCCAGGGACAGATGTTGAGGGCTAAAGGGGTCAGCACCCAGGGACCCGGGGGACAGAGAGCTGGTGGCAGCTCCAGATACCCTGGGCAGGGCACTGGGGGAGACAGTGCCCACCAAGGGCCCTGAGAAGTGGCTGCACCTCCGTAAATAACCCCCTGCCCATGCCAGGGCGGTGGAGGCAGTGCTGGGCACAGGGCCAGGGGCCTTTGTATTGTCATCATCCCTGGCACGAGTGGGGGGACAGGTGGCAAGCGTTGACCCCACTGCCATCCCAAACCTCCGCCAACCCCCAGGACGGCTCTGGGCTCCCCCTCTCAATCCTGTGGAGATGGACAGACAGGTTTTATTGCAGGAGTGAGGACTAGCAGAGGGTGCAGGACAGGGTGCAGAGGGTCCCCCTGCCTGAGACACGGCACAGGCAGCATCTGGCCAAGTCGGTGCTGGGCATCCCTGGCGCTGTAAGAATATGTTTGATATTTAGTTGGTTTTCCAATAAAACAACCTAATATCAAACATATCAGACAGAGACAGGGGCAGATGGAGGTGGGAGGACCTGGAGCTCAGCTGCCTGTAAGAGAAAAAGAAGAATACGCTGAGAGCTAGGGTGGGAGTGATATCCAGGTATAACCCCCGAGGCACTGCAGAGACAGCACCCAGCCTCACCTCAGTGCCTGGAGCCTGCTGGGCAACTGTGCCGGTGCTGGGCTGCTCGGGATGCAGCGCTGGAGCAGGAGGCGTCCTGTGGCTGGGATGAAGCTGGAGCAGGGCATGCAGGCTTGGTGTCCTGGCCTGGCATGTCAGGGCACACCGTGACATGCACTGGCACGGAGCAGCACGCCATGGCAGGCAGTGCTGGGGCCAAAGGGACCCCACATCCATCACCATCTTACCTGGGCTGGCTCGGGGGGCTCTGCGTGCTCTGGCTTGGGAGTCGCCTGGCCGCCGTTTATACCCGCGCTCGGCTGCACCGAGCAGAGGGATGTGGCCAGCGGCAGCCCTGGCCTGCACACGTGGCCTCGTTCCCATTAATTACCACCCATTGACGTCCCCCTGCCCCCTGCCCAGACCCCCGCGCCCTTGCCGCCCAGCACCGCCGCTCGATGCGGTCGATGGCCCCACGACGCCTGCTCCTGCCCCTGGTGACACTCCTGTCATTAGCAGGGCTGTCAATACTGGGGGCCAGCCCTGGCCTGTGGGCCCTGTGCCCTGCACAAGGACGAGCCCCGTTGACACAGGGGAGTTGTGCCTTACATCCCCGTGCTTTGGGGGAGCTGCTGGAACTCAGAGGAGTATCTCTTCCAAGGAGCAGCTGGAGGGGCTGCCCATCACCCTGCTGCATCCATGTTGAGAATGTGGTGCCACCCATGCCAGGTGACAGAGGCAGGACCTCGACCCACACTGAGGTAGCTGCTGGGACCAGGGTAGTGGTGTCCGACAACAAGGGCACACAGGATATCACGGAGTGCTGGAAGCACAGCCTTCCCAGCCACAGCAGTGCTTTGCTGCAGTAGGACACATCAGCCTTGGGAATGGCACTGGGGGCTTTGTGGGGGCTCAATGGGCCAGGACATGGGGCTGCCAGAATCCTGAGTGCCATGGGAAAAACAGGGACACAGCCTCGCCTTGGGGGTCAGGGGCTTCAGCCCCCCGAGGTGGCCACACAATGAGGTGGCAGTGGGGACAACAGGGACGCACGTGGCAGCAGCAGTGCCAGAGCCGGGGGCGTGCGTGTGGCAGTGGGTGATGTGATGCAGCCCGACAGCCGAGCTAATGAAGGGCCGTGGCGGGGGGTGCCGGCCCAGCAGCCGCCAGCCCTGTCAATAAGCAGAGCCAGAGCAGGCACTGATGGGCCCTGGGGCTGGGAGACACCAAGGTCAGGCACAGGCAGAAGGGATGGAAGGTGGGGGACAGGGGCCTCCCAGCTGGGGAGCAGACAGGGATCCTGGGGTGCCTGGATGGGACAGGGACACTGCACCCAGCCCAGCCAGGTTCCTCTCCGTGCTGCTGCAGGGCTGTGCTACATGGCCAGCAGCACTGCAGGACCTGCACTGGGACAGAGCCCCAGTGTGGAGCACCCAGCCCGGTGAGGCGTGCTGGCCGTGCTGCCATCTCCTGGCACAGCCATGGGCAAGAAGAAGTGTGTAGAATCCAGGGCACCCAGGGTTGCAGGCAGCATGTCTGGATCCCAGCCACAGGAACTGTGCTGGGCTGTGTCTTCCCGCAACGGCTGCCCTGGGCTGTCCCATGCCTCACATGCAGCAGACACAGCCTGTCTTGTTCAACGTGTTTTATTCTCAGCCAGGAGCTGGGCGATGCCAGGCCAGTGCCACACACGGGGCTGAGCACTCAGAGCCGCTCCACATAGAAGGCTTTCCCCTGCTGGCGCAGCTCCTGCTGGTGCTGTAGATGCTCATCCAGGACGAGCTGGCACAGGGCGTCTCTGCGGATCTGCCAGGTGTAGGGGCTGTGCTGAACCCCACATCCCCCTGGCTCATCAGAGCGGGGAGACATTGTTCCCCAGGACGCAGTGGAGCAGGGCAAGGGGGGCACCCACCCCTGGCAGCAGAGGGCTGGGGGACCCCAGCTGTACCCAACCATGCCCAGCCTCACCGCTGCCTGCTCCCTGCCTGCAAGGTGCAGCTCCAGGTCCACACGCTTCTTCAGCCGTGACTCCATGATCCACTGCAGCACCCCAAGGGATGATGCCCAGCACTTTGGGTGCTCCCTGGCCCCCTGCCCACAGCTATAGACACAAGGTGGGCAGGTCAGGGAAGCAGAGATGTTCCCCCCAGTCTGCCCTGTGCTAGGGCTCCTCATTGCCCACAGATCCCCAGCAGCACAGGGGATTCAGCCCCCAGGGTGCTCTGCCAGCTCTACCTCCTCAGGAGCCTTGCTCCAGCACTCCCATTTGCCTGGACCTGCAAACAAAGAGCAACATTCACGTGGCACGGGGCTTAGCCTGTGCCAGGGCACACTGCAGCCCACTGTCTCCCCCTGCTCCCAGGACAGCGCCCATCTTCCCAGCCCCGACCCCTCTGACCTCCTCCTGCTGCAGCGAGGAGCTCTGGCTGTTCGGTGCTGCCATGGCCAGTGCCAGTGATGCTGCAACAGCCCCTGCAAGGGCCAGGGTGTTAATGGAACACCCGGGCAGTAACGGCGTCCTGGTTACAGTAACAGCCTCCCAGTTACTGTTACGGTGCCACCTGGTTACCATCACTGTATGCCACCTACTGTCACGGCATCTCGGCCACCACAGCAGTAATGGCAGCGTGCTGGCCACCATTAATGGCATCCCGGTTATTTCATAGCAGCTGCAGGAGGGATGCAGCCTGGCACTGGGCAGGGACAGAGCCCTGCAGTCAGAGGCCACTGGCACACATCCTACTTGAGCTAAACTGTCATTTTATTAAACAGTAATTAAAAAGTGCCGAGGTCTGTAGCCTCCACTCTGTGCTGCCCACGCCGCAGTGAGTGCCCTCAGCCTGACAGAACGCAGGCCCAAGGTGGGGCACGAGCTCTCAGCCCCAGCAGCTCGGCAGACGCTGGCATGCGAGGCGCTGGTGAGAGTGGGAGCAAACACCCCCTTGGCAGAACAGATGAGACATTTAACACTGCTTTGTCCACTCGAGACGTCCCCAAATGCCCACTTGCAGGAGAACGAGTAGAAACCTCAGCTCCAAGTGGTAGCTTAGCCATGGTGCTAAGAACAGGCACCAAACTTTCAACCCCATCCAGGCGCACGGGCAGGCTGGGCACAAAGGGCTGAGAGCAGGAACAATAACATCATGGGGAAAAGTGTTAACCCTTCTGAAAACAGACAAGTGGCTCCAGTGCCCAAGACCCTCACAGACAGGACGGACAAACATCAGTTCCCGCCAGCTGCCGCAGGGAAGGACGGGCGGAGGGGAGCGCTGGCTGGGATCCATGTCTTTATAAATAAGCTCAAGCTCATGAGTTTATTCACAGGGTCCAAGACATTGCAGGACTCAAAGGCTGGAGTTTGATAAGCCTGTGGCAGAGAAGGCTCCAGAATGGGCCCCTGGTGAGAGCCAAACTCCAGCAGCTGGAATGGAGCCCCCGCCGAGCGATGACTTCCACAGTGGGGTGAGGGGGAGATCTGAGAGCGCAGCTGGTTCCTCTCAGCGCTGCAGCCCAGACCAGCCCAGCACACCCCCACTGCACCAGGCCCCTGCACACTCACAGGGTGCTCTCCAGTGTGTTGTAGTTGTCCTTGAAACTCTTCAGCTCCAGGAAGTGTTTGGCACGTTTGCTCTTCTGGCTGGAAGGAAGGTAGGTGACCTGGATGGTGGTGGGGTTGGAGACTTCAGGGGACAGCGTGAGGTCTTTGACTGCTGACTGGTGCTGCCGCTGGCTGCTGCCGCCCCGGGCCTTGGTGCTGTGGGCAGAGAAGAGACACCATCACTGCTGCTGCTGCCCCAGAGGAGCCGCTCAGCCTGTGTGTCTGTCTGACATGAAGCAAACCTGCTTTCGTGATGACAGCACTCACTGAGGTCTCAACATCTAAAGTTAATGGTTCTGTGCAATTCCCTGACTCAAAGTGGTCAAAGGGACAAGCAGGAATGTCAACTGTGACCATGGAACTAACCCAAAACTGCAGTAACAGATGGGCTGCAAGGAAGGAGTGAACCCCGAGGGACAGATGGGCACAGACAGCCCATCTCAGATGATACCTGTGCCTTAAACCCATCTCTGTTCACACCTTCCCACATGCTGCTGGGGCCCAGGAACCCACCATTGCATCTGGGCAGCAGCACTTACATGTTTGCTAGTTCGTTCAGAGCTTCCTCATACTTCAGATATTCCGTTTTCCCAAAGACCTGGATACAAACAGAAAGGAGCATGAAACACCAGCTGAAGTTCTGGCGTGGCCTCAGTGCCAGCAGCAGGGCAGTGCCCAGGAATGCCCCGTGGCAGTGCCCCACCAGCACTCACCCCAGTGCCGTAGCGGGCGCTCTCGTAGCCATCCAGCAAGGTGTCGATCAAGGCTTTGCGGATGCCTTTGAAGGAGGCGCTGGAATTCCGCAGCTCCAGCAAGTAGGCACAGAAGTTCTTCCCTATTAAAGACTTTGGGTAACGACCCTCTGCTTGGAATGGGATTTCTGGAAAAAGGCACAACAGCTGAAGTGGAGGTAAAAAATGCTTGTGCTCATCCCTATGGCCAGGAACCACTGGCTGGATAAATTTCCATCCGTGCCCACTGACCCAGCACGTGGAACGAGCCAACCCTCAGGCCACCAGTGGGAGAAGTGACTGCTACTCCCCAGTGAGCACCTGGAGCCTCCCCAGGGGGCTGCTGGCACCCTCATTCAGGGTCTCTCTGCACCCTTCTGCTCCCACTCTTGCCCTGGGCTCCCTTACCTGATGTCCTGATTGCATCCAGTGCCTTCATCCTGTACAGGTAGTTATAGCAGCCTGGTAAAGGGAAAGCACAAACTGAGATCTCTGCAAACCTTGGAGGGAAGGGAGGACAGGGAAAACAGGAGAAGAGACAGCATCTCACGTGACAGGACAGCAAGAGGAGCACTCAGAGGTGTGACCTGGCCCCAGGGAGCAGTGCAGGACAGTACCTCTGGCACGGTACCTGGTGTCTCCAGCTGCAGGAGCCGGCCGTCGTCCTCTGCCAGCAGCTGTGGCTCGTACTTGATGTCCTGCACCCTCGAGAGTCGAATGTCAATCTCTTCCTTTAAATCCTGTACAGCAGGAAGAAAACATTTACAGACGCTCACTTTGTTTGTGGGCTCAAAAGGATGGGAACAGGCCTAGATAAACCCTTTCCACTGCCTATCACCACTCGGAGGCAGCAGCTCTGGCACTGGGGCAGCTCCTGCATGCCCCTTCAGGCACGGGTGGGCCCGTGGGTGTAGAGAAGGGAAAATACCCACCTTGGGTGCGTGCTGTCCCACGGGCACGTGGGGGCCACGGCGGGACTTCATGGCAAAGCGCATGATCTGGCGTTTCACGAAGATGAACAGCAGCACGAAGACCTGCAGGGCACAGCGGGGTGGGGGTCAGACAGGTACCGGGGGGAGGTCTCACAGCCCCTCCGAGCCCTGCTCAGCCCACTGGGAGCCCCACAGACACTCAGGTCAGCCCCACAACCTCCCGATCTCTCCAGGGGCTGCCACTCACGTCCTCTCCCCGCCCCACCAACCCCACGGGCGCTCCAGCCCTATGAGGGCCCGGACGCGACTCCGAGGGGCTCCGCACAGCCAGTCCGGGACACGTCTGGCGGGAGCCTTATCGATTCCTCGGGCCCGCGCCCACGGGAGCTCCACGGACGCGCCAGCACCAGCCTCGCGGGGGCTGCACGGCCCGGACCCGCCCGCCGCGCCCCGCCGGGCCTCACCAGGCTGCCGTAAGCCATGACCAGCACCACGTTGACCCCCGAGAGCCAGTTGCTGCCGGCGCCCGCCATGCCCGGCCCGGCCCGGGGCCGCACAACATGGCGGCCACAAAGCCGCCCTGAGCGCCCCCACGTGACCGGAGGAGCCGGGGCCACGTGACCCGCGCGGGCCCGCCGCAGCGGCTCCGCGCGCGCGTCACGTGCTCGGCGCGGGCGGCCCCGCCCCGCGCGGTCACGTGCCGGGGGCGGGGCCGGGGGAGTTGTCAGTGCGGGCGGACCCAGGTAAAGTTGCGGCGGCGGCGGCGGCGGCTCCGGTACCGCGCGGCCCCCGAACCCGCCCCCGCCGCCTCCCGCCGCCGCCCCCCTGCCTGCCCGGCCTCGCCGCTGCCGCCCGCCCGGCCCAGCCGTGCCCGGTGCCCCGGGGGCGGCTCCGAGCCGCGCCGCCGCCGCCGCTGGGCCCTGCGCGGCCTAGTGGGCCGGGCTGTAGCCGGGGGCTGGCGTAGCGCGCGGCCGCCGCAGGTGAGGCGGGCGGGCGGGCCGGGCGCGGGTGGGGGGGGTGAAATGGCGGCCGCGGCCATGAGGGCGGAAGCGGCCCTCACTCGCCCGCCTCCCCGTTGCGGGCCCGGCCTGGCGCCGCCGTGGGGACTCCCGCCCGGCCCCGCCGGCGCCCTCCGGTTCGGTCCGGTTCGTCGCCTCGTTGCGTGCCGCAGACCGGGCCGCGGGGTCGGGCGGCTCCGACCTTTCGGCGCTCTCGGGGCCCGCCCGTCCCCGCCGCTGCCGGCGGTAACAATGGGAGCCGTGCTCCCGCCCTGCCGGGCTCCGTGCGGGCCGCCAGGCCCCGCTGCTGCCGCCGCTCCTCGGGGGCGCCGCGTGCGCCCGGGCAGCGGTGCTTCCGCTGCCCGCGTGAAATCCCCGGGCCGCAGCGGTTCGGGGGTCCTGGAGGAGCCCCGGCCCGCGAGTGCCGCCCTGCTCCACGGCCCTCCGCCCCGCTCTGGGAGCTCTGGGTGCGCCCCCCGGCCCGGAAGTCTCCCGAGCAAAGCGCTGCCGGTCGATGCCAAGTCGGGGTCTCTGATGGCAGATCCGGGAGCGTCTCCCCAAAAGCTCATGCTTTGCATACATGGAATGATTCGGTTTTCGACCACCATGTCTGCTGTGAGGAAAACTTCTTGTATTGATAACCCTCTTTTGGGTACTCATTCTGCCCCATGTTGCAGGAAAAGCTTTGATTTCTCTGGCCCTTTCCTTTTGGGCTTTGGAGCTTTTCTGCACGTGTTAATTAAGGTTTGTCAGAAGGGAATGAAAATACCATTTTACTGTATTAACACATCAGGGAAACTGAAATTGGGATGTGCCAGGGTGAGTGGCAGCCAGCAGGTCTGGCACAGCTATGGGACCTACAGATCCTGGTTCTGAAACTGTAACTTACCTAAAGTTTCTAATAAAATTAACAGTTTGTTACATTTTTGTATCCCCTCATTTTCTGGAGACTCCGCACTTTCCTTGTGTAGTTGAGGCTCTCCTCTTTAGGCCTGGTGGGAAGGCAGGCCTGAGAAGGAAAGGGGGTAACAGCAAATGCCTCATCTGATGCAGTGTCTTTAAGCAGAGGGTGTTGTAACCTGTAACTGAAGTGTCTTTGTTTTCCCTGAGCCCCGTGCAGAGCTGTTGGCCTCAGGTGTGAGCCCTGCTCCATTTAATGCTAACGCTCCAGTGTGGACTGGCCACCACTCGCTTTGGCTGGAGCTGCTCTTTCAGCTCTTGGTGCATGTGTGCAGGTTTGCTCTTTCAAGAGAAGAGGTGAAATGCTTTTGATGAGAGCAGCTTTGATCTGGGCAGCTTGTGTGCAGGCGTGGGGGTGACTGATCCCGAGTTCCCCCAGTGAGGAATGAGTTCCCAGCAGCCAAGTCCTCTTTCCCCAAGGCTGCTCTGGGGTCTGCATGGGGACACCTCCTCACCTGCCAGCCTCAACAGAGTCAGCCTCTGGCTGAGGTTTTTGCTGTAGGTGTTTTTCTTACGGGTTTTTAGCGTGTTAAATGACAAATGCTTGTGTTGCTGGTGGCACTGATGCAGCTGGGCAGGAGCATGGCAGCAATGCCTGGGCTGCACAAGGTTGGGGCTCAGCCTGCTGGACCTGCAGCCCAGGGAAGCTGCAGATTTGTTTTCTGTGGATGTGTGGAATTTCTTCCCTCTGGGCCTGTGGTTCTGCTGCCAGGTTGGTTTAATACAACAAATGGTGCGTGAAACTTAGAACTGGAAGAAAGCTAAAATAAATATATAGCACGGGAATGGAGCCTGCACAGAGGGGATGGCTGAGGATAGAAGCCTTCTCCTACTCTGCCTTGGCAGAAGTACAGGCTTGGTGCTCTTCCCCCGTACCTCTGGGGCTCCTGGTAGCTTGGATTGTTTTAGATAAGGGACCTTGGCACTGTATGGCTGTAGAACTGTGGTGTTAAGTTGCTATGAGGTGTGGGGGGCTGTGAAGGGGGGAATTTGGAGGTTTTGTGGGGAGCTGCAGGAGCAATTGCACAGGAGCTTGCCTACAGAGAAAGGCCAGGCACTGGTGGGAGCAGGTGTGGGGGGAGTAGAGGCAATGTTAGGGCCTCCCTGCCCTCAGGAGGGATTTCTCACATAGTCGAGTACTTGCAAACTTCAACAGGCGATCCTCCAGCTTTTCCTGCACTATTTGCTGATGCTGCTCCTGAGCTCCCTCCTGGCACACCGTGTTTTCACCTGTGCTGCCCTGCTCATGGTCAGCAGTGTTTCAGATCAGATCCTGCACTTGTCTTACCAGGTCCCTGCTCCTACACTCTGCCTGTGGCTCCTTCCCGTGCCCCTCATGTCTGCCTGGGGCACAGCAGCAGGGCCTGCTGCTCTGGGGGAAGGCTTTGCAGTCTTAGTAATGAAATACAAAAATGTGAATTCTGTGATTATTGAAATTTCAGGGGCTCAGAAGCTGTGAGTCCTGACAAGTGCTGTGGGATGTCTCTCGTGTCCTTTTTGTCTGAAAGGTGCTAGAGAGGGTAAAACCTCAGTGCTAATCCCTTTCTAGCACCCCCTGCCCTGAAACCCAGTGTGAGGTTAGAAAACTCTGCTTGCTTTGGACACTCAAACTTTTCTTGGGATTTTTTGCCTCAAGCAGTGTTATCCAACAGTGTTACTGCCTGTTATTCCTTGCAGACATCTTATTCACGTTTTTAGTATGTTTGTGATCAAGAATACTAGGAAAAACATTGTTTTTCCAGTTCAAGGGAATAATTTAAATAAGCAAAAATAGGCACTTCTGCAAGGGCAGGTTTGCCTTAAAAACAAAAATTCCACAGACCTGTAGCACCACTCATTGCTGGAGCATTTTTGCTTCCCCTGCCCTGCTTTAAAGGCAAAAAAGGAGAAGGGGAAGTAGCTGATGTGTCTGAGGCTCTGAGATGCTCTGTCCTTCAAGTGATGTTTTTTTGAAGCTTTTTCCAAACCTTCCTGCTCCATTTGATGGCCACAGCCTCAGCTTGGGTGCTGGGCAAATCTGTGCCCGCTCACACAAGAAGTTGTTAAATTCTTTGCCACAAGTCCACGGAATGGCTTCAGACTGAAGGAGGGTCAGTCTAGATTACCTGAGAAAGAGGTTTTTTACAGCGAGGTTGGTGAGCCTCTGGCACAGCTTGCCCAGAGAAGCTGTGGCTGCCCCACCTCTGGAAGTGTTCAAGGCCAGCCAGGGTGGATGGGGCTTGGAACAACCTGGGCTGTTGGAAGGGGGATGGAACTGGATGAGCTTCAAGATCCCTTCTAACCCAAAGCAGTTTGTGAGTCTATGATTTTCCTTTGGCTCCTGGTGCCTGATTGCTCCCACCTGGATGCAGGCGATGTTCCATCTGAAGCACTCTGCCATGATATCCAGAGAGAAACCTCAAGAAGTACAAGTGGCCATTTTGTGTTGGGAGCAGGAGGTTATGGCAGCCTGGCCCACTGTGGTTTTGGGGCGGGTGGGGATCTACAGCAGCCATTCTGGCTGTCTTATCCTTGTGTTTGCTCAGTGTTGGTGCTGCCTTCTGTTCTTGGTATCTAACAGTCCGTTCTCTCTTCTCCCCCGCCCCAGCAGAGTTCGACCTTGTAAATACTGTTATTTGTATATACTGTAAATGATGACATCGGTGGGCACTACCCGAGCCCGGGGCAGCTGGGAGCAGACACAGACACAGAGCCAGACGCAGCACAAGCAGCGGCCGCAGGTAAGGGCAGTGCCCATGGAGACCAGGTGGCTTCTAGGTGGAGACCTGGCTGGTCCAGTGTGAACGGCTGGGCTGGCCTGACGAGCTCCCCATGTGTCACAAGGTGCCAGAGTCAGGTTAATTGGGCAGCTGCTGACACTGGGGTTTGCATGTCTCTCCAAGTGGGAGCTGCTGCTGAGATTTGGTTTTATTTCCATTTGTTCATTCCTCACACACTTTAATGAATGTAACTGGCTGAGAAGCCCCTTGCCATGGGTCTTGGTGGTCTGGTGGTGGTAAGGTCTGCCCCAAAACACATGTGGTTTGAGTGGCTGCTGCTTATCTGGTGCCATGAGGCCATTCAACAGTATATCCCTTTCTTCCAGACTCCTCTTCTTGCTCCTTTTTCAACTCCCTTTCTCCCTGGAGTTTTCCTTCTCTGACCCTTGTTTGTGCCTTCTCTTTGCCATACTGATTCCTTTCCAGGGTTTCCAGAGAGCTTGGGGTAGCAGAATGGCCTTTGGAGGATGGTTTGGAAATGCATCACTCTGACAATGTGCTCTGTCTCTCCCTGATTTCTTTAGGCTACTGCAGAACAGATTCGACTTGCACAGATGATTTCGGACCACAACGATGCTGACTTTGAGGAGAAGGTGAAACAAGTGAGTGTGGAAAATGAAGGTGAACTCTGACAGGAAGACGAGATCAGTATTGGGAGTACTGTGAATGCTGGGAGGGTAGGAGGGACACACCTGGCTGCTCCCTGAATTTCCTTGGACTGGCTTCGTACAGTTGTATCATGGCATGGTTTGGGTCAATAGGGACGTTAAAGGGTCTCCAGTTCCACCCCTGTGCTATGGTGATATCTTCCACTATCTATCCCAAGTTGTTCCAACAGTGCCAGGGCCTCACCAGGAAGAATTTTTTCTCAATACCCTGTATAACTCTGCCCTCTGGCAATGGAAAGCCA